CATGCTTTCTATCAGACCACAATTCAATAAAGCTTACAATCAACACCTGAAGAAGCCCTAATCACCACATGACTACATGGAGATTAATGAACACACTCCTGAATGATGAATGGGTCAAATGAGAAATTAAGAAAGAAAGAAAAGTACTCCTAGAACTAAATGAAAAGGACAATACAACATGACAAAGCTGTCTATAGCTCTAAGTGCCTACATTAAAAAATTGGAAAGAACACAAATAAACGACTTAACATTGCAACTCAAGACACTTGAAAAGCAACAAATGAAACCCAAACCCAGCAAAAAAGAAGAAATAACAAAAATCAGAGGAGAAATCAATAAAATTGAAACAAAGAAAACAATACAAAGAATCAATGAATGCAATGTTTATCTTTGAAAAGATAAACAAGATTGACAGACCGCAAACCCAGTTAATCAAAAGAAAGAAAGAGAACCTCCAAATCAACAAAATCAGAGATGAAGGGGAAACATCACAACAGATACCAGAAAGATACAGAACATTATAAGGGAATACTTTAAAGACCTGTATGCTACTAAATTTGAAAACCTAAAAGAAATGGATGGATATCTAAAGGATGGTAACCACCAAAACTCAAGCAAGAAGAGATTCACACCTTAAACAGGCCCATAACAGAAAAAGAAATTGAAACAGTAATACAAAACCTTCCGAATAAAAAAAGTCCAGGACCAGATGGATTTACAGCAGAATTCTATCAGACATTTAAAGACGATCTACACCCAATACTACTTAATTTATTCAAAAAGATAGAAATGGAGGGAGATCTTCCAAATTCCTTCTATGAAGCCAGCATCACTCTAATACCAAAGCCAGGTAAAGATACAACCAAAAAAGAAAACTATAGACCCATATCCTTAATGAATACAGATACAAAAATTCTCAACAAGATGCTTGCAAACTGCATGCAGACACACATCAAAAAGATCATCCACCATGCAATTTCAGCCACCTGATATTTGACAAAATGGCCAAGAACATTCACTGGAGGAAAGACAGCATGTTTAGCAAATGGTGCTGGCAAAACTGGATCTCCACCTGTAGAAGAATGAAATTAAACCCTTATCTTTCAGCACAAAAGTCAATTCCAAATGGATCGAAGATCTCAATGTAAAGCCTGAAACTCAAAGTTTTAGAAGAAAACATTGGCCAAAACCTACAAGATATAGGTGTAGGAAAGGATTTTCTAAACCGGACATCAATTTCTCAGGAAACAAGGTCAAGAATCAACAAATGGGTCCTCATTAAACTAAAAAGCTTCTGTATATCAAAAGAGGCAACCAGGAAAGTAAAGATAAAACCCACAGAATGGGAGAAAATCTTCGCCAGTGACACACCTGACAGAGGTTTAACATCCAGAATATATAACAAACAAAAAAACAGAATCAAGACAAGAAGTAACCGATTAAAAGATGGGCTAAGGAGCTGAACAGAGAGTTCTCAAAAGAAGAAGTAAAGATGGCTAAGAAGCATCTTGAATGATGTTTTACATCACTAATAATTAGGGAAATGCAAACTAAAACCACTTTAAGATTTCATCTTATCCCAGTCGGACTGGCTAAGATCAAGAGAACAAATGATACCAAATGTTGGAGAGGATGTGGGGAAAGGGGAACACTCATCCACTGCTGGTGGAGCTGCCAACTTGTTCAACCCCTATGGAAAGCAGTGTGGAGAACTCTTAAAACACTACAAATGAACCTACCATTTGACCCAGTTATACCACTCCTTGGCATATACCCAAAGACCTCATCCTACTGCAGAGACACTTATACATCCATGTTTGTTGCTGCTCTTTCAACAATAGCTAAGAGATGGAAGCAACCTAAGTGTCCCTTACTTGACGAATGGATAATGAAAATGTGGTTCATTTACACGATGGAGTTTTACTCAGCAGTAAAGAATGATGAAATCATGAAATTTGCAGGTAAATGGATGGAACTAGA